AGGAATGGCAGAGGATACCCAAATCCAGATGTGAAAAACTTGTTGCATCTTCCCCAAAACGACTCATGGCTGTATTAGATCAAAAGGGTGCTTCTACTAAATACTGAGCAAAGGGTCTGAATACTTATGACCATGTGATATTTCAGTTTTTCTTTTTTAATAAATTTGCAAAAATTTCTACATTTCTGTTTTTTTCTGTCAAGATGGGGTGCTGAGTGTACATTACTGAGAAATAAAATGAACTTTTTTGATTTTTGGAAAATGGCTGCAATGAAACAAAGAGTGAAAAATTTAAAGGGGTCTGAATACTTTCCGTACCCACTGTATTTTGAGTTAAGTGAGGAAAATTGGAAAGCTGGTGAAAAAAATGTGGGAATGTAAGGACTAGATAAAGATGGAGTTGAAAAATAAAAACTAGTGAAATATATAGTGAAATGTATTCAGTTTTCATTTGTTTTACTGATGTTTTTTAACCAACTGATCAGAGGTTAAAACCATAAAGCTTTATAGTCCTTGTACTCATCTACATTGCTATTATTTAACTAACAATATTATTTGTTGATGTATTCAGTTATATTTTTAATTTGTCTGATAACTCCACTTCTGCATTTTGTCAGTTTCATGACTCCACAGGACACAGTGAACAGATAATAATGAGACAGGACTACTTGACAGCTTGAGATTATTCAAGTTTTATTTCTTTGTCTCATTACTTTTAAGCGGAGTTACAGTATCTCAGCCTCTCAGCTTTTTCCTTCCACTGGTGACTAAACCTTTAAAACACACCAACAGGGAGATGGATACAATTACCATAGTACTGAGCCATAATGACACATCTAAAGTGGCAGTGGGAGGTGGAGAGGGGGCACAAGGACACAAATACTGTCACCGACCGATCATCTCGTCATTAAAGGAAAAAACATAAACTCAGAGCACTCAAACACACTGTTGCTGCTGCCTACGTATACTGTAGTAGAGCTAAACGCTGTGATGCTATGACTTGGCTATGGGAGGGGCCTGTGTGTAAAAGAGAAAGGAATGGCTAGGAGGAATGGTCGGGGTGGTCCCTTTCCTGATTTCCTTTATGGACAGGAAGTGTCTACTCTTTGGAGTGCATGTACAGCAGCAGGTCAGCGACACGGTGGCTGTAGCCGAACTCGTTATCATACCTGGGGAGGGAAAAGAAGGAAGAGAAATTAATTGATTGGTTTTGAATAGATAAATGTGTGTTTTCTTTTTCTTCGTTAGATTAACACTAACTTCCTGTTTTACACGTGGGACTAACCAAGACATTTGAAAACTAACCAGGAAATGAGCTTGACGAAGTTGTCGTTGAGGGAGATGCCTGCACCAGCATCAAAGATGGAGGAGTGGGTGTCACCGATGAAGTCAGAGGACACCACCTGCAGAACACAAACCACGCTTAAAGTCAGATATATTGTAGTGTAGCCAGGCACAGCTTAAGCAATACATGACTATTTGCAAAATAAAAACTCCATCACTGTCAGTCACAGAGGTAATATTTTTCAAGTTAAATAAATTACAATTCATTTAGAACATCCTAATTTCATCCTGATCAAATGAACAATAGCACATGCCCTGGCCTGAACCTCTTTACCCCACCTCACCCTATCCCCACTAACTGTCTTGGTCTGGCTTTATAACTAGCTGTGTATTTGCTTTACAGTGTATGTGAAATAACTGTGGGTGTTACCTGGTCCTCGGTGTAACCCAGCACTCCCTTCATGGGCCCATGTGCAGCCTTCTTGCAGGCTTCCTTAATCTCAGCGTAAGATGCAGGCTTGGACAGACGGCATGTCAGGTCCACCACTGACACATCAGCCACTGGCACCCTGAACGCCATGCCTGTCAGCTTACTAGAGAGAGAGGACGGACAAAAGAGAGATACCTGTGTCACCTTCTGTTTTTGGTTTTTCTTAACCTCAAAGTCACATTAAAAAAAGGTGCATTTGATTATCTGGCTGATGACAAATTTCTTTGTCCTTACCCGTTGAGTTCAGGGATGACTTTGCCCACTGCCTTGGCGGCACCAGTGGAGGCTGGAATGATGTTCTGGTGGGCACCGCGGCCATCACGCCAGGCCTTTGCGCTGGGACCGTCTACTGTCTTCTGGGTGGCTGTGTATGCATGGACTGTAGTCTGCAGAGAGGAGGGTCATAATACATGAAATATCAATAACTCAGACATTTAAAGCTAAAAATACAGTTCCATCCTGCCCTATTGACAAGAGTGGTTAAAACTTTCAGTATGACATTAGGATACAGCTAACTGCAGTTGAAATGATGCATGTTTTCAGAGCACAAACTCAGATTTACTGTGACTTACCAT